TTTGATCAAATTTGTTACAATATTATATAATACGAACCATATAGCACGTGTTAAGCCGAAGTTTAAGTCGAAATTTATAAAATCTAAAAAAACCAACTGAAACTGTAAAAAATTCAACTAAATGCAATAATTAATGTAAATTACAAAAAGTTTGTTTACATGGTATAAAATACCAATATATTTAGATAGTTTTTTCATAATTTATTATGATTTGCAACTATATGACTATTATGAAATATTCCTAAATCAAGTAAAGCATCAATGAATTATTATCTATAAAACACTTTAAATTGTCTTATAAATTCGTATTTAATGCAAAATATGAAGGTTTACTTTAACTAATAGAGAATATAAATATCCAATTGTAATAAAAATAATCTATATCCTATGGTTTTAAATATATTATTGCTTTGTCATAAATATAGTTGACATGCTTTGAGGATGTATAAATATTTTTGTTAATTTTTTTACAACCTTTTGGTTTTTCTCCCCAAATTCCACTATTTTTATCTTTGATCTGCCAGCCCCTCTTTCCCAGTGTATTTTTATGTAGCTGATGGGACGCTTAATGCCATAAACAAAGTGATTGTTGCCACTGCTGATGCTGCAATTGGCTGGCATGTTCTTTGTCAACGCTAATGTCATCCGAGCTGAGGTTTCTCCTGGGCTTTCGTTGGCAGTTGGACTTTCAGGTGGGTTACGGACCCATCATTCGCGACGCCACCGCCATCGTGGTCCATTGTCATCGTGGCTCGGCCCTTGGGAGCTTGGACTTTTAATTGCAATTAATTCAATTGGACGCTACCTTCTAGCCGGGCTCTTCGCAATAAGTGGCAGTTCATCATGTTTCCCGGGGAAACCAATCGATTTCAGATCGATTAATAGCGGATGGTGTAGATTGCACTATCTATGCCCTAAATTCAATCTGTTGTGTGAGTTTCGCAAGGTTTATACGGAGATTTTGACATATTTTGCATTAACATTCACTTTCTTAATTTCATATAAAATTTTATCTGACTAAAAACTTTTAGCAAGAGAAAATTTTTTGTTGCCAAAAAAATAATCCCAAATGGCATAAAGTTGACTTAAACCAAATACCTTAATAGCAAATAATTAAGATCAATTTATTCCTCATGAAAATAAAAATTAATCAAATTGAAATCCATTTTGTTTCAGTACATAGCTGTTTCTAAGTTTCCTTACCATTTCGTTTCCTAAAGTAAATAAAAAGAACTAAATTTACGATAGTTCCTACAAAAAATCTCATTTAAAGGGTTTTTCAGAAAACAAATATGAAAAATACCAGAGCACTTGATGCAAACTTCTCTTTTATTAATGAAAAAATAAGTTTCTCTGAGTAAATAGTGTGGGTCATGGGAATAAAGGCAGAAATATTATTTATATGGCTGAGCAAACCTGTGGTCCTCGGTTGCTGTCTGCGAGTCCTTTGCTGCTTTCTCCGCTTTCCCCGCTTTCACTGCACTCACTTTAAATTGTTTAATTCCGGCCACATTTTGCATTAATTTATTCATATGGCGATTTATTGATTTGGCCGCGTTAAATAAATTGCCACTGCATATTTGATTTCAGCGCCTTGCCATGCCCATAATTTCAATTTCGTTTGTCAATTGCGAATGCAATTGCATTACGGGCTTTTGTTGTTACTCAATTAACTTTTAATTATCCGCAAATGCGAATCCAGCTTTACTGTGCAACTGGGAGACTGGCTCACTGACTGACTGACTGACTGACTGACTAACTGACTTGCCAACCAAATGACCGCTGCAGAAAACTGAGAAAACTTGGAAAAACCCAACTCAAATGTAAACACGAAACGCGCCCGAATAATGGGAAAATAAAGTAGAGAGGCCGCAGTAAAAACTTCAGTTGTCATGGCCACTAATTGAAAAGGCCGCCAGCCAGGGGATGAAAAACGTAGTGGTCGCCGGCGGAATTCCAATTCCCACCGGGACATGGACATCCATCGCTGGAGGCGACAGGTGAGGCGATCGCCCAAGGGATGGGCCATACAGGTGTCGCCACAGGGCGCGAACAGGAAGTGAAAGGGCTCAAGCCCATCGTACCACCGCAGGTGAAAGGTATCCACAGTTCGGGCTTTCACGCAAATAAGCTCTAGCTCAGCCGAGTTGGGAATTATAAGGAGTACAACTAACTCACCTGCATGAACGAAAGTAAAAAGCTAGAGGCTCGAATTTCGAGCTTTTTTAACTATTAATAAAAAAAGCACTAGATATTTTTACTATCCGTTTTTTATCATTTGTTTATTAAACTTAGAAGAGTACATAAAATAAATTTAAAAAAAAAATTTTTTTTATTTGTTCTTAAAGAAGAGGGGGGAAAAAGAGGTCGTGTCCTCGTCGCCATGATTTCTACCCTTGTTGTCATCTGAAAAATATAATGATAGATTCTTAATGAGTACAAATGTCGCTATGGTATGAAGCAGCAAAAAAAAATGTTTTCATAAAATGGCGGCTACTCAAAAATAAGGTAAATTTTTTCACTATTTTTTCAAAAATATTATAAATTTCAAATTTTTTTTTTTTTTGATTCCAGCGATAGAGATATATTATATTTAAGAAAAATTCATACCAAATTTCAAGTAAATCGACTGATTAGAACTTAAGATATTGTGGCTACCGCATCAAAAAAAGTATTTTCGAAAAAAAACATGTCACTAAATTAATTTGAGTTTTGAAATATCCTTTCGTTTTTTTTAAATTTCTAGACTAAATCTCAATTTGTAGGTTTATTTATTTATTTTTTGGTTTGTTTCTTTATTTAATGTAGATCTATTATCGTCAACAATCTTCGAGATAGGAATTAAATTAGAAACTAATTGGAATATTGAAGACATATAATTCAATTTATATTAGAGCGGGTTCATTTGTTTTATCCAAACATTTTAGGGGGAATGTAATTAGTGAACAATTCTCACCCATAATGCCAAAGGAACTACGTGGTTAAAATTCTTTTTACACCTCCCCATTTGCAAAAGGATGGATAACTTCGATTTCTTAAATAAAATTATACTAACTTTAAAAGCTTCTATAGAATTTATTATTATAAATTTCTGGGACAATATTGCTTTGAATTGTTTACATTTTAAAATTAAGATTCTCGTTGCCGAACATGTGAACTATTATTTAAAGCCTGACTTTAATACATTTTTTGAATAGAATTCAAGGATTCAGTGTATTGCCCTCCACTCTAATCCCTTCTCTCTATAATTCAGCGTTGTTTCCCTGTCATTTCACTAGTCGGAAATTCAGAATAATTAATATTTCACTGCTGTTGTTGCCATTTTCATTTTTTTTCGCCAACGAATTTCCGGTTAAGACGACGGGCAGCCGGCAGGAGTCATTCGGCGCATTAGCTGCCATAATTTTAATGGCCTTTAATGGCCCTGGAATGGAATTGAATGGGGAAAAGCGAAAAAACGCATTAATTAGAAAACGAGCGAACAACAACGACTAAGTAATAAAATAATAATAATAAAGCATGCCAACGTGACCGTCCGCCACAAGGGGAAAAGTCAGTAAATTAGGACGCAAAAAAAAAAATATATACCCACAAAAATTCACGCACTTGACACAAATTCCTTTCGGGAGCATTAAAATTGAAAATAAAAATGAAACGAAATTCACGAGTGGCAAAAAGTGGGCAAAACTGCTGCAAAGGCATGCAGGAACATAATTCATATTACAAACGATGGCAGTCCGACCAAAAAAAATGGTCTAATATTGTCAGCATAAAATAACAGAAGGAAAAAAGCCAAAGGACACTAGAAAGACAAATAAAATGGCGACCGGGAACCCTGGGAAATGGGTTAGTCTTGGGTCCACAGTCACTCACATAAGCAGGCAACTATTAATTTTCTGTATAATTAAGACCCAACGGGGGCTTCGCATTAGCACTTTAATTACATTTTCCAACTAGTTATTTAATTCGCAGCCGTTTTCGTCATTCGTGGGGCTTTAATGATGGATAAATTTGGCAAATGCACGAGAAAAAAATTGATTGACCAATGCGCTTAGTTATGTAACCATAAAAAAATAGTTTTGTAACTATTAACAAGAAAGGAAAGCTAACTTCGGGCGGAGCCGAAGTTGATATACCCTTGCAGAATACTCTATAATTATATTTTCCAAAATTATTCCTATGATGCATTCTTAATACTCATAAAAAATCCAAACTTCCTAACTTTAAAAACACCAAAGTTATGGCATTTCGAATCGTTCAGTTATATGGCAGCTATAGGATATAGTCGGCCGATCCTTATGAAATTTGGTAGGTCGGATTGATTGGCCAAATATAAAACCCATAGAAAATCTCAACTTCATAACTTTATAAACACGAAAGTTATGGCATTTCCGATCCATCAGTTATATGGCAGCTATAGGATATAGTTGGCCGATCCCGGCCGTTCCGACTTATATACTGCGTGCAAAGGAAAGAAGGCTGTGTGCAAAGTTTCAACTCGATAGCTTTAAAACTGAGAGACTAGTTTGCGTAGAAACAGACAGACGGACAGACGGACATGGCTATATCAACTCAGGAGGTGATCCTGATCAAGAATATATATACTTTATAGGGTCGGAGGTGCCTCCTTCACTGCGTTGCACACTTTTGACCAAAATTATAATACCCTCTGCAAGGGTATAAAAAAAGGAGTGTTTTTATTAACTATTATTTATACGTAAGAGTATGAGAAACTTTTTAATAGTTACTATATAAAGGTTAATCCATCGATTGGATTGTTTTTGTTAACCATTATTTAGTTATTAAATAAAGAATAATCCATCGACTGCCGAATTGTAACTAATTTATTGGATTTTTGTGTGTGTTGCTTAGTTTTTTCCATCACTAATTTATTTACCCTTCTTAAAGAGTTAATGTATACGAAATTCTATATTTAGTGGAAATTTATGTGGTTATACATAACTAATTAAGTTTTTTTTTCGATTTCGCCACTTTTGCAGGGATGTGGCAAGAGGAATATATCCGGCGAATGCGACACGCTGATTGAGACCGGCTGAAAGGGACAAACGGAAGGAGACAGGTACACACTGGGATACAAGGATACTACAAGGACTGCAAGGAAAATGTGCAAAGGCAGCAATTCAGGAACGACAGCAACGCTGGTAAACTTATTAGCGAAATGCACGAAGTCAACAAACGGACAGGCGGCAGCAGTCCTCGCAGAGGAAAAGGAATCGCAAAATCGGGGGAAACTCGTGCCGCAAAAGCAACGAGCAAAACGTCAAAACAAGCAACATCTACAGCTGCAACAGCAGCAGCAGCAACAGCAACAGCAGCAACAGCAGCAGCAGCAACACCAGCAGCAACACCAGCAGCAACACCAGCAGCAGCAGCAACATCAGGAGCAGCATAATCAGCGCCAGCAACAAGGACATCAAATAGAGCAAATGGCAATGGGGACAAATGAAGAGGCGGCGGCTGCCAAGGAGCACGAACGGCAGACCAAACTGGCAGACTCCAAATGCAAAGGCAAACACCGGCACCAACGAAATCGCAATAATGTTGCCGGCGTGCAGCAGCATGTCCTGCGGTTCCTGCTCCTCCTCGTCCCGTTCGTCCTTGTCGTCCTGTTCGCCCTGTTTCCGGCCACCGCAGCCTCGATGACACCTTCGGCCAGGATCTCCAGTGCCAAAGGCTCGGCCCGTGAGCTCCTCTTCACGGAAATGGGCGGTCTCTCCCCCGGCGGCGGAGCAGCAACCTCAGGAGGCACTGGAGCAGGAGCAGCTGGAGGAGGAGGCGGAGGAGGGGGAGGGGCAGTGGGAGCAGGGGGCGGAGGCGGAGGCGGGGGAGGAGGAGCGGCTGGGATCGAGTGCCCCAGCTTCGACAACACCGCCTGTCCCTGCTACAAGTTCGAGGATGGTAAGTGCGAACGGTCGAGCGAACTAATTAAACGCATCAGTCGAGACTTGAAGGCAAAGTTTATTGCACCCAGGATGTGCAGAGGAGTCCCATAGCCAGGCAACGACTATGAGATGCCCAGTGTCCAAGACCAATTATAGTCCAAATAGTCGCATTCCTATACAAAAAATAGTTTTTCTTTCTTTTGCCACAATCAACAACAAGAAAATAGAAAATATAAATACAAACAATATTGCACACAATCAAAACCTAAGTAGAATGTTAGTTTTTTAAAACAGGATAAGCTGTCATGGCATTGAAACCGATTACACTAGCTTTCAAAAAATACTTAACGCCTTTTAACAGTCTTTTCTTTAAGCTTTAAAAATAATCTATTCATGTTAAAATCTGAGAAATTTTGACACCCACATTTTTTATGGTAGAAAAATGTGTTATTTGTTTATTTACCATCTGTCGACCAACCGAAAAGATTTCGTTTCGGGTATCTTATAGTCGAATCACATATTTTATGACTGAGACATACATACCCCTTTAAGTTTTTCATACAAATTAATAGTCTTAATATTACAAAAAGTGAAAAACACTTTAGTACTATTAATTTTTGTCGAACACGTTCACGAATGCCGTTGTATTTTAAGTTTTGATGAGTACCTGATATAATCAGAGCTCCTTGAGTACATAATCAGTCTCTTTAAGATGCACAGGATAGAAGTTGTTAACCACAAGCACCAGGAAATCATTATTGCATAAGATATCAAGGAGCAAAATACAGTGGTTGACAGGGCAATATTAAAGAAACATATGTATTCTGATTTGTTTTCAATTTTCATTGCCATTTTTGTATTGGACTTCATTACTTTAAACTAGAAAAACGAGTTCATTTCTTGGCTATTTTAAAATCAAATTAGTTATAACTGGCATAAATCTCTTTTCTGAACGTAATACAAAAGTGGATGTAATAGAGAACCAATTTCTTTGATTTTTTACCTAAACAATCAGTGGAATGGAAAGTGTCTGTAGGTATATGAATTTATATATAAATGTATAAAGAACCGGCTTTTTATCAGGGCAGTCTAATCATATCCACTGAAAACGTCTAAAATCCATCGTCACATGATAACTGGTCTAATTTGCAGGACTATTCCTGGAGTGTCCTGGGACGACGGCTATATCGCTGCGCTCGACCCTCGAGCGGATATCGGCGCCGATCCACTCGCTCTCCATCTACGACTTCGACCGCTCGGTGACGTCACTCTCGCAGGACGTCTTCCAGCCGGGCGTCCACATTCGGCACCTGCAGTTCTCTCACTCGCACCTGGAGGCGCTCAAGGACAACAGTCTGCGCAACGTCCGCTCGAGCCTGGAGTCGCTCAGCATTGTCAATGGCAAACTAACGCAGGTGAGCATTCACATTATGAAAGCCTTTAAAGTCAAAATTAATGTATTGTAATTTAAGAAAGTCAAAAACACATTGATATCTATCGCTGCTGTTATGTTTTCCATGTTACTCTTTCTAGTCCCTACGTTTTATAACCATTTAATTGGCTGATTAACGTATAAATAAAATATATGTTATATAAACCAAATCACAAAAAACAGCAAAAACAAGAAAGGAAAGCTAACTTCGGGCGGAGCCGAAGTTGATATACCCTTGCAGAATACTCTGTAAATTATATTCTCCAAAATTATTCATATGATGTAACCTTAATACTCATAAAAAATCCCAACTTCCTAACTTTAAAAACACCAAAGTTATGGCATTTCCAATCGTTCAGTTATATGGCAACTATAGGATATAGTCGGCCGATCCTTATGAAATTTGATAGGTTGGATTGATTGGCTAAAAATAGAACCCATAGAAAATCCCAACTTCCTAATTTAACAAAAACCAAAGTTGTGGCATTTCCGATCAATCAGTTCTATGGCGGCTATAGGATATAGTCGGCCGATCCTTATGAAATTTGGTAGGTCGGATTGATTGGCCAAATATAAAACCCGTAGAAAATTCCAACTTCCTAACTTTACAAACACCAATGTTATGGCATTTCCGATCAATCAGTTATATGGCAGCTATAGGATATAGTCGGCCGATCCCGGCCGTTCCGACATATATACTGCGTGCAAAGGAAAGAAGGGTGTGTGCAAAGTTTCAACTCGATAGCTTTAAAACTGAGAGACTAGTTTGCGTAGAAACAGACAGACGGACATGGCTATATCAACTCAGGGGGTGATCCTGATCAAGAATATATATACTTTATAGGGTCGGAGATGTCTCCTTCACTGCGTTGCACACTTTTGACCAAAATTATAATACCCTCTGCAAGGGTATAAAAATAACAAAGTAATAAAAAAAAACAACAATTTAATTTAAGAAAGGCTTTGTAGTTTAACAATTTTCAATTGGACTTCCAAAAAATCAATATGTGTTGAACTCAATCTTAGTCAATGTTTTTATATCAATTAATTTCACAGAAACATTTTGGGGTTTTGTGTAAGCATAAGCAAAAAAAATTAAGTTTCAATTTTATTTAGAATTCTTTATTCGCTAATCATAATGAAGACTGCAAACTGCATTTGGTGGAGATTTACGAAGGTAATGAGTTATTTGATCATGGATCAAGGAATTTGGTAACACTTTTGGTCCTTATTTTAGACTTATCTTGTCTTAAACGAATACAGTAATCAAAAATTTTCTGGAATTAAAAAGAGAAATCGATAATTTCTCATTTGTGATTTAACTTTTTAACTTTGCATACACCACAAGCCTATAAAATCGAGTGACTTTCACACATTTTGTTGCCGACTTTCGGGCTGCTCATGGTTCGAGTCCCAGCTAAGTCACTCGGCACTGTGGGGCAAACGACCACATTTTGTGGCCAAATTTAATTGTCAAACAAATTTATTATAAGCTTAAAAGAGAAGTAATATTTAATGACTTGGTTTTTTTTAATAAAATTTATTTTTATTAAGTGCCAAACCTAACAGGGTCGCGATTCTGTTCCACACTTTTATTTCGCAATGTGAAATATGAATGTTCTGATTTGTGTCAGTTAAAAAACAATTTTTTTACCACAATAAATCGTTATTGTTCCCATAGTTCGTGGACGGGAACTCACTTATGAGGACTCCCAGCCGCATAAATTGCGTTTCGCGGTTGTTTCAGCGGTGGTTTCGCCCAAGCTAATTAGTCCATCGAAAGCTGGTCCTGGATCGGGATCATGATGGGGATCGGGCACTGAGAACTCCGCACCATACGGCGCCGAATAATGTTAAACAAAGTTGGGCAACCAAAAAAATGCAAATGGCTTTCTAAGCCATTAAATTTGGAAAAACAGTCGCCGCAACGGCAGCGCCAGTATCCAGCATCCAGCATCGAGAGTCCTGAATCCAGCATCCAGCATCGAGAATCTGGCTACGGGCATGGCCATCCCAGAATCCTGCGTTCCGCATTCAACAAATGCGAGTGGCAAATGGAAAATGGGCAGGGGAAAATGGTAAATGGCAAATGGCAAATGGGAAGCGAAAGCCCGCCGCCAGCCATAAAAAGTAATTTGCCGCCGAATAACAAACGAGCCAAAGCCAAAAACAATTGCGTTCAATAAAATAATTTGCAGGCGAGCGCAACTGGCGAAATCGGCCAGCCGGAAACGCACAGAAAGAGACGGCAGCAGAGAAACAGATAGAGATGGCTATACATGCGGCGAATACATAGCTTCAAGCGGTCGAGGTAGTAAATAAGCAAATATCTATCAAAAAGCTACAAAAGCCACAAAAATTGCAGTCAAAATCGTAATTAAAGTCATATTTTCAATAAATGTGCCCACAATTCGATGTTTAAAAGAGTACAAATTCTTTTATGGACTTATTTTTATTTGCTATTTACTTAAATGGTTCGCAAGATATATTTAAGCAAGGATAGTTAAGGGCCTAAACGGCTTATTAAAAAGGCTTTTTTTTATTAAATACTTTTCTCCGCACCACAGGATGACCTCCAAGTTAGAGTGGAACCAATTAATTGGTGTCATTTAGTCAAATGGTTTCATTTCGTTTAACCCATACCTAAAGTACGCTCTCCAAAGCGTCCAAAAAAAAATTAATTTCAACCGAAAAATATTGTTTACATCCAACAAGTTATAAGACCACATAATTACCCCCTTCAGAGCTTGTATTTGGCTAACAAACAGGCTTTTAAATGATCCAGCAATGGCTTTTTGGATGTATGAAGCATGCAAAATCCAAATAAAATGTTATCTTTAAGTTTAATTTAACTTTCGATTTATTTGACCCATCAAATTATACCAATTATCGAAAATCGGTTAGTGCAGTGGCCTTAGTGTTGGCAAAGTAATCGGAGTGGGCAGCTTTTCGCAGACATCTGGCTTGTCGCCCACCTGTCGTTTGCCACAGTGACGTCTATCGGTGCGGTGCCAGTCTAAAAATGTATATATTTAAATCAATTAACATGTATTACATAAATATACGAAATTCGTATCCAATTACTCACTGTTTCTGGGGCGAGCGTGGCAGTTCTGGTTGAGCAGTTGACAGTTGTTGGCCAGCAGCTTGCAGCTCTGCAAATTGCGCGTTCGCACGCAGATCTCCTTCTCGGGGGGCGTTCGCCTGCAAATCACCGGGCGGGCGGGGCAGGGGTGGTAGCAAGGTCGCCGGTAAGCACCGCCCACTGCGCGAATTCCGCGGCAGTCCAGCTCGCGGGTGTGGACCACCTGGAGGGGGTGCGTTGGCGATTCAGGGCCAGGAGGGTGCAAATGTTGTCGAAACGCTGGCAATCGCCGTTGGGAAAACGACCGCAGACCCGCGGGCTTTGGGGAATGCATTGGGGCGGACGGATGCAAAGGGGGCGTGGCGGCGGAACGCGGATCACAATGGATTCAATGGTAGTGGGCGCCCTGGTGGTCGTCCTGTTGGTGCCACTTACCACCGCCACAAGGACGAAGCCTACAAAAATTGTTATACATATTATCACTTATTATCAACGTTTTGCGAAAATCTTTGTTGAAGACTTATTGTTCAAGAACTACTATTACTTTCATTTACAAACGTCAAAAATTCACAAAGTGTATACAAATTTGTCTAATTGGCAGCATACAAAAATGTAAAGGATTATTCTTTCTTCCCGATTGATATTTATACCCGTTACTCGTAGAGTAAAAGGGTATATTGTATTCGTGCAAAAGTATGTAACAGCTAGAAGGAAGCGTTTCCGACCCTATAAAGTATATATATTCTTGATCAGGGTCACTAGCCGAGTCGATATAGCCATGTCCGTCTGTCCGTCTGTCCGTCCGTATGAACGCTGAGATCTCGGAAACTATAAAAGCTAGAAGATTGGCATTTTGCATGCAGATTCTAGGAGTTCCTACGCAGCGCAAGTTTGTTTCAAAAAGGTGCCACGCCCCCTTTAACGCCCACAATCGCTTATATACGATACATTTAAATATTTCGGAAAAGTAAAAATGCAGTTTTATTGTGTTTATCAATACCTATCGAAATGTAGAAGAAATTTTTCAAATCGGACCATTCGTTTAAAAGTTATGCGTGATCAAAGTTTCTATCTCCATCTCCCTCGCACTCCCTTTACCTGAGTAACGGGTATCTGATAGTCGGGGCACCCGACTATAGCGTTCTCTCTTGTTTTGTATTAAAGTATATGGAGACGAGACTTTCTTCGTACCTAAAATCCAACACAAGTTGATTTTGCACATTGCTCAGTTTAAAATTAATATCACTGCTGCATCTGTTGTTTTTAGTGGATTGTTTATATACCATTTCTTGCTGATATAAAGACAATTACCAGAAAAGATATTATTTTGTATGTATTTTACTCATTATTAATTTACTCGTACATATTTTGTTAAGTCAAACAAAAATTAATAAAAAAGACAATGTATTACTTAATGAACTTTAAAAGGTATTTATTCACAGAAAAATCTGGCAAACTTTTGAATAGAATTCAATTCTATTGAGAAATTCAACGAAATTCTTTTAAAATGAATCAATGTACAAATATTATACTTTCCATAAGTTTTATGATTTTTTTTCATTAAACAGAAACCTTATATTAACGAATGACTTAAACCATTCATGAAACGTGAAACGAAAGTCTTTTCCTGGTAATTGTATTTATATCAGCAAGAGTGTAATATTTGCTAAAAATAAAACACACTTAACATCTGCTTTAATAAGTACGCTAAATCCAGACAAAGGTACTCACCAAATAAAACAACATATGTTTCGGCGAACGAAACAACGAGCCCCTGATTTTTGGATATCCGAAGACCTATAAGTACACCGCTCTCTGGGTGAAAAGTTATCACTCAATCCAGAGAAGTTGATATCACAAAATCATGTCGAAACTGAGCATTTTCCTGATGATTGCCA